TTCTCCATTCTCCACAGATTTCATGGCTTTAGTACTTTCTTAAACGGTCAAGGAGTTTGAGAATCAAGGTGACCAGAGTCTCTGAGGAATGGTCTTTGGCTTAGATATTAAAAACTGTTACATGCAATAATGTCAAATAATGTTGCTCTTCTCTTTATATCAGCAGACAATGAGGTGGAAGAGACCTTTGCAGAAAGTAGTTGATCTGGTTTGATTCATTAAGTTTTGAATTAATCTCTCTGATGTACCAACCCAGGGTTGAGACCTGTACAAATTAGGTCAGTTTATGGATCATGTGTGGATATGGGACAATATCCTCAGGGCTGTCTTTTAGAGTGTGAAGTTTCCTGAGATCAGCTTGATGCTGTCGGTTCTTCTGCTCCAGAATTCTGGTGATTATATTTCTCTCTGCCTGATCAGGAGCTTTGAGCTGTGCTTTGGTCTAGGCTCACCTACTGCCCAGAATCATCTGTAAAGTATGACAAGATGCAGCAATAGTAATCCTGTTGGACAAGGAAGTTATTTCAAGATCATATGAAAAGCACCAGAATGCTACATTTATTTCCAGGTATTCTTCAATCCATCTAGTATGGGTTTCACTCACTTCCTTGCGTGGGTGCTGCAGTGGCTTCTGGGATGAGCGCCCTTACAATAGACTCTAGTAAGAAATATCCTGGCTACTAATAGGGAAGATGGTGCAAGATAGACCTATGTAGTCAAACAGACGCCTTTTCAATCTACTGTAAGTGCTGAAGCAGGTATTCCAGGATGTCAGGATCTGAAATCATCTCGGGTTTCACCTTGGTCATCTTTGGCTCTCACAGAGAACGAATTCCTCAGTAAGATGGTAATCTTACCAATTTACAGTTTCTAAAGGGTTTATTTGTGATACAGTGTTCAAGACGGGGCCTTTCTCAGCACAGATAGATACCTGTGATACAGTTAACACGTGTTCTGAGTACAGCTTTGGCGTTTTCATGCCACCAATATGGGCCTCAAAGTTGGCTTGGGGCATGTTCAGGCATGTTGAAAGTGAGCATGCAGTTGTATGACTTGGTTATCTTCTAACTTTGTATTTCATTGTTTGTGCTGATAACTAAAAAGTTTATACCCAAGTAATTTAGTTAGGTATATATTTGTTTGGAGAATGAACGGGAATTCCTGCTTCCATCATTTCTCTCTTTAAGTGAAACGGTGTAGTTCAGACCTCTGATAAGATCCTTGGCCTTTTTTCCATGGGGTATGCTACAAATTGATACATACAAGAATCAACAAATATGCTTAAATTGGTCGTCTTGTATTTTGAAATTTGAGCATACAGTGTATATTTTCACAGCAATTTTCAAAATCATTAATAGTTGATTGTGATTGTTTTATATGAAGTAATTTGAAAATCTTCACGTGCTATTATTGGGCTAATGTTGCACTATATTTACATATGTTTTGGAGTTTTCAGATGAGAAGTCAAAGACCAAATGTAGCGGGAGATTCTTCTGTTGTTCCCAGACAACTATGAATAAAATTGATAGTGGAGGATGGTGTTGCTACTGTCCATGTTGTTTCCCTGCTTAAATAAAGACAAGGGAAGGTACTCAAATTAGCACCATTTTGGGAGTCATGTAAGATCCTTTTGTTAAATATTGTACCAGCCATTCACTGATGTACAGCAGGACTTGAGGGGGCTTTGGTCCGTTCACCAGTACGGTTTAGCATAGTGTGCGTGTTCCAGGTTTTGCACTGCAAGAGGGGGCCCTGTGGCTGCACAGTCTCCCAGTCCTGAACTGGAATTGTAAGCTAACTTCACCAGACAGTGCAAAGATGTAACAGAAAGATCTTGCAGTAATTCAGGTAGTAACACACAATTTGTAATCAATACTGCCTTGTTTCTGCGTGAAAAGTTCATGCTTCCTATGTTTTTTCTTCCATGCTTAAGGGGAAAATTGGGAGCAATAAGCATTGGTGAAAATATAGAGTTGGGCTTTTTTGGTAGTCTGATTTTTTGAAAAGACACTGTCAAACATGAATATCTTGAAAGAATCGGTTATTTTGCAGGAATGTTTCATTAAACGTTGCATCTAGGTAGTTGATTGAAGAGGTCTATTTCACAAAATTCTGTGGATAACATTAAAGACTGCTTTTTTCACGGAGTATGTTACAAAGCATACTTTCTTATCATTGGTATGCTAAAAAGTGTACTTGAATTGCAGTTTTAGCTTTGCTCGAATATTGGATTGGGTTTTTTTAAGAAAAAAAATTTTAAAAGCTGGATAGTATTAAATCTTCCTAATAAGCAAGTCTCTCTTCCACTTAATTTGTGCTTTTGTTGGGGCTAACAAATAATTTGCTGTATGGGTTTTTCTGTACACCATTGATAGAATATATAAGCTTGTCATCCTAGTGTGCTGGAAATGCTACACTCAAATCAAGTGTTCCTTTCTGGTTTTGTATATCCTCACCTGCTCCTCACTGTAAATCATTGAGATGTCAAGAGCAGTGATTAATTAAGCTGCACGTGCAAGTGCTTTTTTTCACCTGTCAAGTAGGAAGAAAACTTACTATAGTGAATTGTGTGATGCTGTTTAATTCATTTCTTTTTATTCCAGGCTCTGAGGTTTGCAGAAATATTTTACAGTCTAATTTTCCTTAACACTTCTATATTAATAATATGGTGTGATTTGGGAGCTATGACTATCCCAAATTATACTCCAGGAAGGATTGTATTTAAGGCTCTGGGAACATAAATAATCGTGGTCTCGAGGCTGCATGTGTTTTCATCTCACGCTAGTCAAATAACTTCAAACTGGCTTCTTATTGAAATAAACCAATTAATAGTACATAACTACCTATCAATTTCTTATTTATGTGTATGTATTGTAATATACATGTAATTTTATTGGAATTTGAAAAGCTTGGATGTTTTTCACACTCTTCGGGGCAAACAATGAAATTAAATTGTATAGTGATCTTAATCTATTATTAAAAGGTCCTGGAAAGGAAGATTACAAGGTAGATTCAGGTTTTGAATCAGTTTTGCCATTGGTTTAGCAGCGGGTGGGCAGGCAGATGCCTGCTCAGAGTAGAACCTATTGCCATTTTTCACCATTGATAGAGTAGCCTTTCAGAGTCAATGAGCTCTGTCAATGTGAGCTTGTCAAGGCTACAACTTCATAGACCTGAGAGGCGGTTTGAGAGGTCAGCCCTTTTCAGGTTTGCTGTGATGCAAATGAACTTTAATGCTTAAACAACTATTGGAATTTTTATGTCTGCTCCTTGTTCTTTTTTCTTCACAAAGTCATTGACGAGACATTCAGTGCTTTTTAAATTGGAAGTTGCATTGTGCTAAAGACCTAGTACAGATTTACGGAGGGCTGAAAGCAGTTAG